TAGAGATAAAAAGAAATAGATCATAAATGATCTACTACTGTAAAACTCATTTTGGAAAATCTTAAAAGAATCATAAACATGTTTTGTTTTGTTCTCTTTTTAATCATCCAAGGGACAGCTATTCATGAAAACAGAAGGCAGATGTAGCAAAAGGCGCAATCAATAGCAGCCTCTGAAATACATTTTCTAACAATGATATTAAAGATTAAGAAAGTCACATCTTTCTCACCAACAATCAAAATTCCTTTCTAATGGGTTGCTTTTAGTCTTCAATTCATCCAGATTAAACTAAAGCACACATTAAATACAAGAGGACTTATTTTCTCAAGTTCTGCCTGGTAAAAGAAATCTAATCACAAATGAATGAGGAATGAGCTCACTGAATAAATCAGAAAGAAGAATTAAAGAAGCTGACAGGTATTTTATAGGCCTGTTAAAAAATAAATTGGACTTTCAATATAAAAATTGGCTTAAATAAATGGTACTCTTAAGAATTTGCTTTAGAATATTTCCTTAAAGTCAATTGGATTATCAATCAAACATTATTGCATTTCCGTATATTTTATTTTTAAACTACAAGGGACATAATAATGGACATAAGCACAGAGTAAATGTCCAGAATAAATAAAAAAAAAGACTTTAAACCTGAGTCAGTCTACAAAAAAAGTTCAGTAGAACACTTTTATACTGTCCTCTAAAGTAATAAAAGTACGCACTTTTGATAATTTGAAAACTAAGCAGAAGAAAATAGGATAGCAGACTTTATCCTCTAAAGATATGCAATCTGTAAACTATTGTATCTCCTTGTGATAGAAAAAAAAACCTTTAAAGATATATAAATGAAACAATAGAAGGAAAAAAAATTAAATGATCATCAAAGACAATTATTCCCATCATGGGTGATATTTTAAAAGCAAAGGTGGGGAGTAAAGAGCAGAGTAGGATCATATCCCCCCTTCCACTTGCAATTAAGGGACGAGAAGACCTTCTTCCTTCTCATATTCATCAGGTGCAGTAAGCAGTACTGTGCAATTATCTCCTCGCTGGCAGGAGCTGAGCTAGATTCAGGGAGTCACCAGCCAACAAGACAATTCGATCTCCTCCTTACAGAACTCTGAGCTGACTACCAGTCATCTCACTCTAACACTCCCTGTGTGCAGAAAGGACTCTCAGAGGTGTTGAAAATCACAGCTTGGCAAAGTATGGCCCACAGGCTAGATCTGGATGGCCTTTTTCTACAAACCATGCTCTACTGAAACAGCCATGTCCATTTCTTTCTGTATCACTTCCTTTGCATTGTAACTTCAGAGCGAAGTAATTGCAACTGAAACACTACAGTATTGTCTGCAAAGCCTGAAATATTTACTCTCTGGCACTGTACAGAAAACGTCGACCCTTGCTCTAAATAAGACTTAATGCTTTAAGGACTCCATGCTAAAAGACACATGCTCTTGTTCATAAAGCATCCCTACTTACAAATAATCATGAGGGCAGTTGGCTTTTTCTGGATTGTATTTATACCTTCATAAGTTTTTATTATGCTTTATTTTCTTTCATTGTTAAAGTAGTTAAAAGGATCAGGTGTCTAATATCTTCTAACAGCTTATTCTCTCCAGATAATGATAACATTATACTATATTTACTCTTTTGATTGATCAGAGTACGTCCATGCCATATAAGGCCCACTTAGAAGAAGAAATGATCTTCTTCTCTAAATCACGCCAAACAAACTTCCAGAGGTGATTTTAGGCTATCTTTTAAACCGAACAATAAAATTGATTGTAAAGAAAGCACTTAGCAGGCACTCAAGTGCTATATAAATGCAAAATCCTAGCAGCAACAGCACCTTTGCTACCCTGCACATACAGGAGTAGATGCTTATTCCCCAATCACTTGACCTAGAGAGCATTAAAATTTAAATGAAAGAAAAGAAAGGATTAGCTTTCATTGGTGGTTATCAAAACTCCTAATAAGAAGTGACAGGCTGTGTGTTGCCTGTGGTTCCTCCAAAGGAGTTAAGAGGCTAAATCTGTGGTAGTTGTGGCTGACCATCAATTTACCATTCCCAAAACCCCCTTTTTCCTCTAATGGGAATCAATGTGGCATGAATAAAATTAATTGGTCACTTAGTTCACATTTAGTCACCTTAACACAGCAATACAGTTCTTGAGAAAATCCTTGAAAAGCCTTGGTTCCTGAAAAATTTCCCTCTCCATCAACATGCTGGAAAAACATATTTCAAGTGCCCAAAACGGGAGACTGAGCTGAGAAGTGAACAGAAAAACCAGGAGTAAATGATAGCAGTGTAAGAGACAGCTGCATAGGGAAGGGATGGCTGACTTACTATGAAGGGTGATCTTTTTAACTTTTTTTAAATTTTTAGAAAAGATTCATTTTATTTATTTGAAGCAGTTACAGAGGCAGAGAGAGAGGTCTTCCACCTGCTGGTTCACTTCCCAAAGGCTGCAATGACTGGAGCTGGGCTGATCTGATCTGAAGCCAGGAGCCAGGAGCCTCCTCCTGGTCTCCTACATGGTTGCCAGGACTTGGGCCATTCTCCATTACCTTCCCAGGCACATTAGCAGGGAACTGGATTGGAGGCAGAACACTCAGGATGCGAAACAGCGCCCATATAGGATGCTGGCTCTGCAGGCCAGGGCTTTAACCTACTTTGTAGCACCAGCCCTGAAGGGTGGTCTTTTTAAGATACCAATACCCTGGGGCCAACACTGTGGTGTAGTGGGTAAAGCCGCCTCCTGCAGTGCCAGCATCCAATATGGGCACCGGTTCGAAACCCGGCTGCTCCACTTCCGATCCAGCTCTCTGCTATGGTCTGGGAAAGCAGTGGAAGATGGCCCAAGTCCTTGGGCCCCTGCACCCATATGGGAGACCTAGAGGAAGCTCCTGGCTTCGGATCAGCACAGCTCCGGCGTTGCAGTCAATTGGAGAGTGAACCAGCTGATGGAAGACCCCTTTCTCTCTGCCTTTCCTTCTCTCTCTGTGTAACTCCGACTTTCAAATAAAATAAATAACTCTTAAAAAACAAAAAGATACCAATACCCTGAAGCCATGTCAGTTCCTTCCAATACAGGAGATCCTACTCTCTTCTTTTGTATCAGTTATCACAGCTGCAGTGAATAATTCCTTATATTACTAGTTTGACTCAGTGGCGAGTTCCATCGAGCCCATTACCTGTCTGTTCAGCATAGATATCCCTGTGACTAACACATGATGAGCACTGAAAAAATATGAACTGACCTAATTAATGAATAGACTGATAAGCAAACTAAATTTAAGTAACTCTACTGATGCATTAGAAAGTTACAGTTATTCTGTGATATGCTCATGAAAAATAACAAATAGGATATTCTTGTCCACATGCATCATAAGCAATATTCTAATATGCACTGGTGGCATACCAACTCTTAGATCTTCATCAACCATCTGCTCTTTAACCTCTTCCTGTATCTTAACTTCCAATTTCAATATAAAATAATGCTCCGTTTCTTCCAGATTTAAAAAGAAAAAAAAAAAAAAAACTCTCCAATCACTCCCACCTGACCAATCCATTCTTATCCAGGGTTGCAAATGATGCCAATCCCCTTTCCATTTCTGTGTAGTATCTGTTCCTGTTGTCTCAGCAGCACTATTTCCCTGATTATTCCTCTATAAGTAAAAACATGTCTACTTTTTCTTCAAGTTATTAATATCTCATATTTATGACAGCATCAGCCGCCTTCTAACTGATCTCTCAGTTCCCCGCACTCAATAATCTACAATGTATGTTTACCTCAATAAAGCTTCAAAGTGACCTGGTCTGATGGCTCCATTATACACATCCTATTCAAGAGCTCAAATATTTTCTGATCTTCACCACAATATCCACTGGATTTCTTACATGCTTACATACACGAAAGCACAATACGAGGTAAGATTTTCTAAGTTTTAACAAGGCCTCCCAAACATTGTCATTCATGTAATACAACAGCTGTTATTCATTTAAAAAAATTTTAAAAGCTCAGAGATATCAATGAATGCTCCTGAGCTCCATTCTCAAATTTTATATCTGTATTAAGTCATTTGTGGTCCATCGCCCTGCCCGGGAAAATCATCCACATGAAAGTCATCCAAACTATTCATGTTTTTTATACCATGTCATCTAAAACCTATCCGAAGCAGTAACTTTTCTCAAATAAAAATAAGCAGAATGGCGTATAGCAATTTGGAAATCTGTGCCAAATGCCTGAGTCTCATATCAGCCACACGAGATACTGCAAATCTGTTTCAAAAAGAAAAGCCGACTGAAACAGGCCCAGGAAAGTGATCAGTGAGTGTAATTAATCTGATAATCGTAGTGCTACTAAAAAATACACCTTATTCAGGTAGAGTCCGTGTCACTCAGTTTTTTCTAAATGAGGTGCATTTTATGAATATTGCACTATACATTCCTTTATTATCTATGGTTCCTGATGGAATTCAGATTCAGAATGGCTCTCTGCAATGCCAGACTATGCAGCCAGCCCAAGCCTTCCTTATTTCAGCCCCAGCAGCTTCTCCAGGCATATTTTCTGCCACTTCAGACACTCCCAGCACACTCAAACACTATTCTCCAACCCCGCCTCGCTCTGACTAACCCAGCCATCTGCAGTGTACTCCCCTCTCCTGCCCCTATTTTCCAAACACCCGCTACTTACAGCATCTTAAAGGGCCGCCTCCTGTATCCCATACCCCTTTATGGGACCCATTCTAACCCCTGAATGTTTCCCATACGTAAGCCTGTGCGATCCGTACGACAGGAGACTATGTCTGTCCACCTTTGACACCTACAACACTTTACACAGGGTCTCAAATATTGTGGACGCTCAAAAAAACATCGTTCAACGAGCAGATTTGCTAGCACCACCACAGGCTTCAAATCACAAGCCTCTGCTTCTCCAGGAAGCCCTGAGTATTATTTAAGTGGTCAAATCAATGCACATGTTCAGAGGCCTGGAACATACCAGAGAAATCCATACACTCGCGGCCGAGGCAGGGCAGATGCAATCTGGTTAATCAGGTAACTATGAACCTCCAACAGTGGGCGGGCTCACACGGTGAACGGCGAAGGGTGGGTTCTGGTGCCAATCCGGAACACCAGAAAGAGACGTGGGTCCACCAGGGCCAGGAGTGTGGCCGCCAGCCTGGAGAGGGGGCAGGCGAGATGAGGCGCTCTGGACAGCTGTGCGAGTGACCGTCCCAACCACCAGCCAAGGAGAGGCGCCCTCACGCGGCATGGAAGTGCCAAGGCAGGCGCCCATTCCCCACGGCGGAAGTTAAGAGTCGGCGCGCTGCCCTGCAGGTGGGCACTAGAACTGCAGAATGGGACTTGGGCCAGCGCCCACTACCGGCGGCCCTGGGAGAAGCGGGGACGGAAGTAGCCTCAAGACCACAAGCCCCAGAAGGCCCCGCGTGGACTCAGCGGGCTGGGGCAGATTTAACTTCCGCACTGGGAGGAAAAAGGGGAAAGCGGGTCTCCTTCCAAAACAGTGCTCGCTTTCTGCTGGGCTGGCCTGAAAGTGAAATTGAGGCCTTGAAGAAAATGGTGAAAAAATTTAAAAACAATTTAAAAAATTCTTGAGGAGAGTTAGCGTTGATTCTAATTGAGGGAGCCGGACGTGGGGACTTTCAGAACCGCTGAACACAGGGATTATCAAAGTTTGGATTTTCTAAAAGTGAATTGTTTTTTAAAGAAATCAGTATTTCTAATTTTTCTACCTTGCATGATGTATTTTAAAAATATATATTGTTAATCTTTTTTCTTCCCTACATCATTCTAAATTTTTAATATATTAGAATTCCAACTAGAGTCTAAGCCTTCTGAAGACAGATTCTCTGTGGTCTTTGATAGTATACCCAGGACTTGGTTGCTTTTGGGTAGACGTCTCAACACGTTTGTAGAATTAAATATCAATCAATCATTGTGAAATACAAGTCTGTTCGATTTAGTTTACTAAGTGGATGAAACTTTGTTAAGACATCTTTTTGCATTAACTGATTATTGTAAATTTCTTTAAAATGCTAAGCAGCACTCTCTAACCATCTACCCATTAAAGCAAGTTAATGATTTTAAGTCAACTGTAATTTGTTTAATGTATCGTTCTGTGTTATTCATGCAGAGGTGAATTTCAGGTAAACCAAGATTGAATTATCTTGGACTCCAACTTAATGAACACTAATTAATGGTTTACTGTCTTTTCTGTTCTTATTTGAGAAATGTAAAATCCAATCATCATTGTTCATCTCTCACAGATAATCAAGAGTCAAGTAGAGGAAATGTAGCAAGGTTGCATTGCATTGTGTATGTGAAATCACAATTCATTAATTAAGCAAATTAGATTGAACTCCTATTATGTGCCAGGTGCCAGGTACAGGGTGAGGCATAATCATTGCTCTATAAAAGTGCACATTTTGGTAATTACAAGAAATGGGTAAACAAGCTATAAAACTACAAAGTAATCATTAAAATCTTATGGAAAACTCCAGACCCGGTTTAAATAAAATTTTATTATTTTTACCAAGTCTTATGCAGGTATCTGTCAAGTAACATTTACAGTTTTCTTTGGGCTTCTGACAATAGAGTGGTTGTGGATTTTCAAAAGTGTGAAGTGGAAAATAAGTCATAAAAATTGTATAAGTTTTGAACTAGTTTTTGGCTCACTCCCCCAGTGGAATATATAGTAAGCAATCACATATCTTAAAGTATTCAATTCTGTGCCTTTTAGAAACTACTTTTTTAAAAAACGCCATGATCCAGCTGTGCATGCATGATTCAAACCACTTTTCTAAAGGAGTTGATTAAGAACAGAGGGAGGTGAAAATGTGCAAAAGTGCACCTAAGGTCTTTTGCTCTTCCTGTTATTCATGACATTTCAATGCAAAGGATTTGAGCTGCACTCAAGTACATAAGCAAAATGAAAGGTCTTAGGAAATCATGCTTCTCTCATGTTATAGCTTCAAGGGAGAAAATTCATGGGGTGCCAACCTATATATGAATAGTAGAAATCATTAATGGTAATCATGTATAAATTTTTAGGGTCCAAATAAAAACAACAAGGAAAATGTTTTACCTCTGTGCAAAATATAAAACTGTAGATTAAAAAAAACCACTGTATTATTATGTATATTAAAGCCAGTTTAATATAAACTAAAAATAAATGAAATAGATAAAATGAGTGTAAAAATATAATCAGGAGCAATGTTAATTCTGAGATGGCTAGGTGAATCATAAAGGTCATAGGATCTGATAAAATGTCAAATGTATATATGATTTTTTTTAAAAAAACTGATGTAAGAAATGTTACTTATTTAAAAACTAAACCAATTTGCATTATTTCCTAATATAAAGTTATGAAAGTAGTAGAAAGCTGTTCTAGCACAAAGCAGAGAAATATCAAAAATTCCTAGGACAATGGAAGAGAAAATTAGTAGCTCTGTGTTCAATTCAGCACTTCCAGAAACTTCATTATGCTAGGAGCTCAGCATATAGAAGAAAGTCCTGTTCTCAGTAATCCTGTACCTTAATAAGGGAGCCAAATTTTGCCCATCAAGTATCATAAATAATAACTAGCAAGTACTGAATACACTCACTGTGTCAGGTAATCACAGACTGCAGGAATTAATTAATCCTCACAAAATCTTCATGGGTCAAGAGCCTATGTTTTCTAATTCTTCAGTGAGAAACGCGACCTCAGTTGATTAATTCATTCAAGGACATTCAACTTGTACTTGGTAGAACTAGGACTTTCACTTCACACTGTCCTACTCCAAACTGCACAAACTCAACCCTTTCACTTTAGCACAATCAGGAAGCAAGCTAAGTCTCTGCTTAGCTACCGCTCTTTAATTCCAGCCTTATGAGTGGTCTTTGAAAAGTTAATGGAAAATGAACTCTGCGTGGACTTACTTAAAATTTTTTTTCAAGGAAATAATACTTTAATTCCATTTCTCCATGAACATGTTTCAAGTGTCCTAATGTGAGCTCCCTTGTCAGAATGTTCTATCCACTAGTGTCTAAATCTGAAGCACCTGGCTTTGCAGCTTTTTTGTGTCAGTCTATTGGTTAAGCTGCTACCTGATGGTTTTTGATTCTGCTTTTGTGTCATATTCATACTGATTACCAGCTATTATTCCAATGAAAATATCTTCTTCAAAGGATTCTGTTAGCCCAACATAATATCAACAGATTATGAATCTATGATCATCATTCAACAGATTCATATATATATAGTTATTCCTAACACAAAATTAGTAATTTACACTGTCATTTGTTTAATTACTGATACTCTGCATGCCATGTTGCAAGTTGTTTCCCAACTATTTTTTAAAAGATTTATTTATTTGAAAGAGTTATAGAGAGAGATAGAGACAGAGAGAGAGGTCTTTCATCCGCTGTTTTTTCACTCCCCAGATGGCTGCAACAGCCGGAGCTGCACCAATCCAAAGCCAGGAGCCAGGAGCTTCTTCAGGGTCTCCCACGTGGGTACAGGAGCCCGAGGACTTGGGCCGTCTTCCACTGCTTTGCCTGGCCATAGCAGAGAGCTGGATCAGAAGAGGGGCAGCCAGGACTAGAACCGGCGTCCATATGGGATGCCGGCACTTCAGGCCAGGGCTTTAACTCTCTGGGCCACAGCACCGGCCCCCAACTTTTGGCAATTTCAAAAGAGCAAAATCCATGAAAATGTACAGACGTTTATGAAATGTGTGAAAGAAACAAGAAGTATATATTTTAAAAGTACTCGATTTTGAAGTTTCCAACTTAGAATTGCAAAAAGAGGAAATATTAAGAATATGGTTAAATAACAGCAGTTTTTACACATATAAATTGTATCATTTTAACATATTTAAAAATGCACACTACAAAAATGATCACTACCGATTTAAAGTATGTTACTTTACTTAAATATTTACAATTGTGACTTTTTAAAAGCATTTTGTTGGAAATTTATATTTTGAATGCACAAAGAAATGTTAGGCTTTAGAAGAAACATCAAAAAAGTAAAATCTATAAAGTGGACAATTCTTTGTCATATGAATATCTGTTCCTAAGTAATATGTCAGTTAGCTCAGTTTTCAGGTCTTTTTTTGGGGAATAAAACATTAGTTGGTTTTGTGTTGTGGATGAATAGTTTCACAGTTTTATTGAATTGATGAAAAGATATTCAAAACAAAATTAGACTAAATCACTAAATTTATAAACACCACAGAAATTATTTTCAGTTCATTAAGAAAGAAGAAAGATAATCTATTAAGCTATCAAGGGGCCGCCACTTGGGCATAGTGGGTAAAGCTACTGCCTGCAACACCTGTATCCCCCATGAGTGTAGGTTCAAGTCCTGGTGGCTCCACTTCCACTCTAGATCCCTGCTTATGTGCCTGGAAAGCAGTGAAAGATGGCCCAAGTCCTTGGGCCCTTGCACCCATGTGGGAGATAAGGAAGAAGCTTCTGGATCCTGGCTTCGATCTGGCCCAGCCCTGACTGAGGAATGAATCAGCAGCTAGAAGATTTTATTTTCTCTCTGTCTCTCTCTCTCTGCAACTGTGCCTTTTAAATAGATAAATCTTCAAAAAAAAAAAAAAGATATCAACTAACTGTAAACTTGGGCTAATGCTGGAAATCACTGAGGCAAGTCAGCAATTCAGAAAAGAGGTTTTAGAGGCACATGGAAGAAATTCTGTGAAGACTAAGAAGTTTGCAGCAGACTGCTCAGTTGTACCTTTCTGAAAGACCAGATAACAAATACTGATGCAGAAAGGCAAAGCAAAAGAGGTGCTAGGAAAATGATGTACCTTGAAAGTAGTCAACGTAAACGAAAGGAATTAGAAATGGCCAAGAAACATTCAGAACAAAATGCTGGCAAGATCAGCATTAAGGAAAATGCGAAGTTTAAAGGACAGGGAAATTTAATAAATGACACTATTTTGGTACTATTTAGTTATGGAAGTTCTGTACAAAACATTAAGATGAAATGTTGGAGCAGGTGTTATGAGCAGATGCCAACATTTCATTTCAGAGTGCCTGGTTCCAGTCCCAACAACTCTTCTACTGATTCAGCTTCCTGCTAACACGTCTTAGGAGGCAGTAGATGATGGTTTATATGCTAGAGCCCCTGCCACCCACATGAGAGACCTGGATGGGATTCTAGGCTGCTAGCTTCATCCTTATGCAGCTCTGGCTGATACAGACATTTGGGAGGGA